ATTTTTTGTATTTTTAGTAGAGATGGGGTTTCACCATGTTGACCAGGATGGTCTCGATCTCTTGACCTCGTGATCCACCCGCCTCGGCCTCCCAAAGTGCTGGGATTACAGGCTTGATCTGTTTAGTTTTTAGAGAGAGATGGGTATACTTGGTCTTCTCAGAGACCTGAGGCTAAGCACATGGGCTTTTGATGCAGGAGGAGCTGGGTTCGAATCCCAACTTGACCAATTACTAAGTGATACTGGGAACACTCTCTGAACTGCAATTTGCTTTTCTGTAAAATGGAAATAGAAAAGCTTATCTCAGGCTGGGTGCAGTGGCTCACGTGTCTAATCCCAGCACTCTGAGGCTGAGGTGGGCAGATCACCCGAGGTCAAGAGTTGGAGACCAGTCTGGCCAACATGGTGAAACCCCATCTCTACTGAAAACAGCAATTATCCGGGCACAGTGGTGCATGCCTATAGTCCCAGCTACTCAGAAGGCTGAGGCAGGAGAATCAATTGAACACGGGAGGTGGAGGTTGCGGTGAGCCAAGATAGTGCCATTGCTCTCCAGCCGGGGTTGTGAGGCTTACACAAGACACATCCCACACTTAGTATGAAACCTGTCATTTAGTAAATATTTTGGTAATTAGTTCTTATACTATTATTGCTGTTGCTGCTATCATTATTATTATTAGTCTTAGTCTTGCTTTCACTTACACCATCACAGGACTCATGTTTTTCCAGAGTAAGTACATGTAGCAGATCATGAGAAAACCAGTTGCAGGAAAATCAATCTCTCTCTCTCCCTGTGTGTGTGTGTGTGTGTGTGTGTGTGTGTGTGTGTATGTGTGTGTGTGTGTAGAAAGGGAATGATCTAGAAACCAAAAACCCAAAATAATAATCAACAGGTGCTGGAATATTTAAATAAAACTCACAGGAAATCATTGTGCTTACAGTAAAAGATAGTTTGCTTTATTATGGTGGTATTACCTTCTTAATTCTTAATCTGTATACCATGAGTCTATCCATAAGACAATTACTGTATGCACAGTATTCCAAATAATGAGGAAAAATCAGAAAAATACCTAGATGATGTAAGTTGTTTACCATTTATTTTTCTTTTCAAAGCAAAGTAGGTAGTTGGTCACTGTTTGATACTATATACATTACATATATTTCTGAATTATGAATAAATTAATAATTAAGACAGACATACTTTTTAAGGGTTTCTCTAAGATTTTTAAATCTTCCTTCAGAGGAAACCGTCTTTTGAAGTTTGTCCATTAGAGCTTTTGTCTAAAAAGAAAAGAAAAAACTTAAGAGTCATGAAAATACAGTGGTTTAAAAAGACAGTGAATTGCCAAAAGATGTTCAGTTCTCTTATTTGGTGGCAGGTGTTGATACCTTCGCCAGAATAAAGGTCATTGTGTGGTGTGATTCTTATGAGGTAGAGACAGGGCATTATGTTTACATTTAATGTTAAGAATATATGGAGAAGAGGAAGTACCTATATCTATACATTTAGCTAAAAAGAGAGGGAAAATGGGTAGAAAGAAAAATTGCAATAGACAGAAAACTTAGGCACTTAAAGAACTGACAAGTAGGCCAGGTACAGTGGCTCATGCCTATAATCCTAGCACTTTGGGAGGCCGAGGTGGGCGGATCACCTGAGGCCAGGAGTTTGAAACCAGCCTGGCTAACATGCTGAAATCCCATCTCTACTGAAAGTACAAAAATTAGCCGGGCCTAATGGCGCACACCCGTAATCCCAGCTACTCAGGAGGCTGAGGCAGGAGAATCGTTTAAACCTGGGAGGTTGCAGTGAGCTGAGATTGCGCCATTGCTTTCCAGCCTGGATGACAGATCTAAAAAAAAAAAAAAAATTGACAAGCACATGTTGAATATAGAATTTTTTTTTTTTTTTTTGAGACGCAGTCTCATTCTGTTGCCCAGGCTGGAGTGTAACGGTGCAATCTCGGCTCACTGCAACCTCTGCCTCCAGGATTCAGGCAATTCTCCTGCCTCAGCCTCCTGAGTAGCTGAGATTACAGGCACGCACCACCATGCCCAGCTGATTTTT